GGAGTGACTTTTCCAAACACTCACAGCAAATGGGTGGGAAGAAAGGCTGAAACAACCTCCCCCTTGCAGCACGATCCGCCCTCCGACACGTGGGTGACCCAAGGGAAAAGCCTCTCTGGGACAGAAAGTGGAGGAGAAAGGTGTGACAAAAAGTGACAGCCAAAACCAGCTGAGTGGGGGAAAAGTAGAGGATGAGCCAGATCACAAAAAAAAAAAAGAAAATTCCAGTTTTTACTTAGGCAATAAAATTGGAGACCAGGTGTCGTGGTTTTGCCCACCAGTCCATCCCTGGGGCTGAGGATGGTTTTGTCCAGGTGATTTCCGGACAAAAAACCAATCAAAAAGTTCAGTGACGCCTTTGCTAATTACATCTTTAAGAAAACGGAAGAGAAGGTTGTGTCGCAGTTGAAATTAAGCAGCCATGTAGAAGGGTAGCGGGCCCGAGGAGGGCCAGGCCCCTCCTCCCGGCTTGGGCCGGGAGGCAGAGTGCAGCACTGAAGCCCCCTTCTCTCTTGTGAGAGAGTGAAGAAAAAAAAGGTTTAAAAGACGAACTGCTTAGACGAGAAACCGCTGCAGAAGAATTCCAGCCATGAGATAACAAGACTTTCAAGGTCAAAGCTGCAGTCGCAGGAGAGAGAAGAAAAGTTCGAAGGGGAGAGCTGCTTTTTCTCCCTTTCGCTCTCCCTCCCTTCAGCAGGGTAAAGACTGAAAAATAAAACCCTGCCACCTGTAGAAGTTTGTTGGGGTGAAGAGACCCCCATGCGGCTCACAGAGGAGCTTGTGGATGCACCAGAGATTTGTGACTTTAACAGAGAAAGCCTTATGCTGGAGTAAAAGCGGCTCAGATGAGGCAGAGTCCTGTTAAAGACTTTGTGACCCTCGAAGGGATCGATGCTTATGCTGGAGCGAGACGGCTCAGATAAGCTTGGGATCTCAGTGAGAGATCCATGCTGCTGCTGTTGAAGATTTATGACCCTGACGGGTATTAGAACCTACGCTGGAACACAAAACGGTTCAGGTAGGGATGTTGGGATCCATGTGTGGGATCCGTGCTGCTGGTGCTAGAGAGAACCTACGCTGGAGCAGAAAATGGCTCAGGTGGGATATTGGGATCCGAGTAAGGGATCCAGACTGGACCCATGCCGAGAAGTCAATCAAGGACTGTTCTCCCATGGGGAGGGACCTCCATAGGGAAACAGGGGTGAACTCTTAAACCATTATCCCCTGTAACCCTGTGGAAGAAGATCCATAGTAAGCAAGTGTCCCCTTGCAAGCCTATGGAAGGAGACCCTTCAGGACCTGGGTAACCCTCAGCCTTCGGTTTTAGCCCAGGAGGGGGGTAAGCCCAGCCCTGGAGGCCAACACAGAATAAGAGAGATAAAGAAGTTCCAACTGCGACGAAAGTGCTGCAGAGTTACTAGAGAGAGAGAGAGAGAGAGAGAGCTGGAATTCCGAGAACAGAAAAGGACTACTTCTCCTCCTTGGACTGATATAAAGGGAAGTGGGGGGAGAAGTATCTTTTATAAATACATAGTACCTTTTACTCAAATAGAATTGTTGTAAATATAATTCTTTAGTTTTAGTTTGTTAATAATAAATACTCATACTTTTTTCAATTCAGTCTCTTTTTGTCTGCATAAACCTTCTCTCAACTAGTAGTAATTGTATGTGAGGGTATAAAAGTAAATTGAACCAGGACAAAACCACGACACCAGGCCTTTAGTGAGGAGTGATATCAACATGTTGGGAGAAGAAACGTTCTGGGAGATGAAAACCTGCAAAAGAACATCAGATGCTGCATCATCACTGCCAGAAAGAGGAAAGACCACTACTTGCATTTAAATCTGATTTTTGTCTCGGGGAGGGAAAGTAAAAGCATCAGAAAACCTGAAGGATTCCAGGGAATTTATCCCAGTAACCTTTAGGATGGAATCCTCCTGTCCTTCTGCACTCCAGCAGCAGATGGTTGGGAGATAAAGCATCTTTTTGAGAAGCAGAGCTGAGCAGAAGGCAGAGTGTTACCCAGTGCTTTTAAACCATGGACAAGGTTCATTTAGAAAGATGCTTGATTTTGGGGACAGACCATTTGGGGAGGTGGAATTTTCCTGCTTACCAATACCTGTGTTGCTCTGACTCTTGCTCTGCTTCTGGGTGTTGCATCAGCTCCCTCGGGGGAGGGACTGGCCTGTTTCTACCCTTCTGAGAGGTTTATTCAGCAGCTGATAGCCCAGGACAGGGCATTTAACAGCACAGGATCGTTTAGGTTGGAAAAGACCTCATTTAGGTTGGAGAAGACCATAAAATATCAAGAGATTTGGGAAAGGGTGGATATCTCAGTGAGATCCCACAGC